TTTATTTTAAGGATTGCGGTAATCAGGCTAAATGAACCAATCATGTGTCGTTAACTCTCGACTAGCTGAAGTATTACTAATCAACCGTGAGGGAGGGACAATTGTGAGAGTGACGGCAAGGTTGGCGTCGTGTGTTGGCACTGCTGAGCGCATTAATTTAGCGCCATAGGCAGCAGGTTTATTAGACGCACGATTTGGACGAGGAGATCGGTAGAGAACAAGAACAAATGTCTTGATTTCGCTCTATCAACGTTAAACAGCTGCAAGCGTTTGCAGTTTTCCATCTCGATCGCCTTTGTCTGTGTCACAGTGAAATACTAGAGCAAATACTCATTAGTCTTAAAGCCTACTGATGTTCTACTGTAGATCCTGACCGAAAGAGTTCTATTGTGAGCCCTCGGTTCAGTAAGGGTGAGGTGTGGCATGAAATGTACTTAAGTGGAGAATATCATAAAATATCATATTTTTGAAGTAATAGCTAATATTTTAACAATCACCGAGCTGATATGAAGCTAGCAGGTTAGCTTTTACTCCTATTAATATTTAGAGTTAAAAATAGTACTATTAATATCAAAAATATTATTTGATATTTGGTTACCATTACGGAGTACAGATACCTGTCTCGACTACCGGATTACGCCGGATCCGGTTAAAAATACAATTCATTTGATGGAAATTGACCAGTTTGCAGTACACGTACCGGTATAATAATACATGGACTCATTTTCACAGAAACAGCTATTTAACCGGTTTACTAGCTACACACCAACGTACTTAAAGAAAATAAGACCAGAGGACATGATCAACATGCCACCCAATGTGCCAGCCGACACGAGGTGCATCCTGCCATTAGCGTACATGTACGCAGTCGGTATGATCTCCTTCATGCTGATACCGCAGAGCATGCCAGCACACAGTCCGTAGAGAATGCCCTGTGTCTCGTTGTCGGCATCCATCCCTAGCGATGCGAACGCGATGATCCCACCAATGTGTTGTGCGACAGCTGACAAGAAGCACCACAGCAGCCCACGACATGTACTACCCGTCGCAAAGTAGATCGGGGTAGCAACGGCAATACCCTCCGCGAGATTGTGTAGAGCTACACCAATCGCCAGGGACAGCCCAATCCACGCGTGCTCCGACGAAGCCACGAAAGTAGCCATACCCTCCGGGATGTTGTGGATACCCACAGCGATGGCACTGAGAATGCCCATACGTTGCAGCTTCTCCTTCGCTGCTTCGTCCATCTTAATGAACACGTCGCTGCCTTGATTCTGAACGAGTTCTACGGGTGGCTTGACTTCGAACGTGCCTTCTTCAAAGGACAAGCGCTCGGGCTGCATCCGCGCCGTGCCGTTCATGTTTTGACCTGGAGTGAGCTTTTGAACGATGAAGTCGACTATGTAGCTTACGAGGATACCGCCACCAAAGCAGCCGGTGGCCGCCAGCCACGCGTTGCCCTGATCTTCGTCATCTTTGCTCGAGTTGCTTTCATTGTCGTCGAGACTGAAGGCGTCGTTGAACTCCTTGAACGAGTTCGCGAAGAGCACCACGAGAGCCTGAAAGATTGTGATACCGGCAGATACACTGAGCAGCACGGCCATGAACATCGGGCTGGCCAGTTGCAGTAGTTTATTGCTGAAGATGACACACCCACCAAGCACGGTGGCCAGTGCTGCTAGTGCATTGAGTCCGAACGTCGGGGTGAGATCAAGCGAACTCTCCTCTTCGATGGCCATTTCTGCGATGAACGAGCTGTGAGCGGTTTGATGCCAATTGAAGAGTGGCTGACTACTCCCGACAAGTCTTCCGACCACTTCGGCGGCAGTTCAGATGGCGTCGATTTTTTTGGTGCGTGAGGGCAGCCAGACTCCACCCGATACTGGACGCAGATGCACTCAAACAAGATCAAGGTCTTGATTAACCAGCGAAAAGACGGATTACTTATGAAATGTGGAGCGTTGGTGCTTGCCTCACATTTCGGCCTTAGACAGTGCATGGGGAGCTCTGATGACCATAGTCGTGTATGGGCTCAACAACACTCCTGATATTGCAAAAATGTACATGTATTGCTGGCGATTCAAGTCGACGCTTAGGCAGCGACACGTATCGGATCATCGATATATCCCGTCACAGCGCGGCAATTAGCTGTGCCCGTCAAACGATTAGTGTGTTATAGCTTGATCTCCTGGCTGGTTATGATAGGAGAAGCCGAAGCGCGAACGACGCGAGGTCTCTCTACTTACAAGTGGCACATCAGTAAGTTCTTCAAATTGAACACGGTGCTTTAGCTCTGGAATAGCTCAGAAGCTTTGGAATTGAATTATTTTCGTCCAGATATATATCCCACGAAGGGTCGCGTTATTCCACTGGATTAAAAGTATTTGGAAAATCGATCGGTAATCTATCCGTCATTTATTCAGAATACTCGTTATTCCAAGCCTTAGATTGTACTACGGAGTCCGTAGAGCCTTTATCTGATCTTCATCCTCCTGGTGATGCAAAGGAGCTGCTAACGTAGTGGCATACAGTGGGAGTTATGGAAAGAAGAGGACAGCGCGCGCTCCCACGAATAAGTCTTCAATGTCGCCTGCTCGCGGAGAGCATCGATTGCCGAGTCCGGGTTATTGCCACTTTAAATTATGTGTACTGCTATTTAAAAAAAGTGTAGATCCACCCAAAATGTGGACGGGACCACACACACAGAAAACGGGTCACCACCACCACCTTAAAATATACGACCACCACAATAGCACGATCACTGCCAAAGTATTGAAGTGTTGAAGATACAGAAATAGATAGATATACACGCTCGTCGAACTGTCGCTCATTTAAAATTACGTGGAGACAAACAAAATGGAGAGTGAGAACGATGATCTTTTAGATGGAGCAGGCCAAGATCCCTGCTAAACATGCGCAACAAGCGTCCTTAGTGGCGGAGGCTCAAGCCGAACCGCTCATGTGGAGACCTGCGTTCTCGACTGTGAAATGTGAAAAAGTTCTCGAGTGTTCACGTCGACTACTGAACAACAACACGCTACTATTTAAGCTGGTGCGGTGGTTCAATTTCCGCGTCGAACACGACCGAGTTCAGCTTAATAGTGTCGACATTCCAGACACTGAGGCTTCACTTGACAGCAACGAGCCAGGGAACCCGAAAAAATAATATGCGTAAAAATTAATCCTAATTTTTAATTTAATTATTAATTTATGGCTGTCAACAACGGGAACAACCCCAATTTAGAGTAAGGTCTAGTCAAGTTACAGCGTGGGGACGCGCTGAACGTCGCAGAAAAATTAGCCTGCGCTGAATTTAGGTCGCCTGATCTCGAACGGTCGTCTTCAAGAGCCGCCGAAGAGCGTTCTATTGTGAGAGCGGCGTTCAAGAAACGCAATTGCGCACTACGTCGACGTCGCGTACATCCCGCCAACGTCTAACGAGTGTGAGCGCTTCTTCTCTCTCGCTAAGCTGGTGCTGTCTGATCTACGGAAGCGAATGTCTCCAGCCAGGCTCGAGATGATAATGTTTCTGAACTACAATCGTGACTTGCGAAGTTTTGCAAATAATTGATTTTTTAATTTTCTCAGCTCACATCGATGCATTAATCTAAGTATTGCATCTTCGGGTTCCCTGCAACGAGCACAAGTGCAAAGTGGCAGAGCCAATTCCAGACTGTAGTGACCGATAGGTTCAAGACGTTGGAGAGATGCTCTTTAGCGATGCGTTGCTGTACTCGGAGCCGGACCAGACCGCAATCTTCATGCCGA